GTGCCACTTCCTGGGTGGATAAAGGCAATACTAGGGTGGCCAGGGTTCCATGCACATGGCTGGCTAGGTGGGGGCTGTGGGAAACTTCAGAAAATAGGACATGGCTTCCGGATCGGAGCGCTAACTGGCGTCTCCGCTGCCCTGCTTCTGATCCAGCTCCCTGCTAGTGTGCCTGGGAAAGCAGCAGAGGAGGCTCCAAGTGCTTGGGCTCCTGCGTCCACATGGACTTCTGGGTTTCTGGCTTCAGCCCCGACCAGCCCTGTGATGCAACAACCAGCTGGTGAGTGAACTAGCGGGTAGACGCCCTCTGCGTCGCATGCTGCCATGCTGCCTCTCAAATACAGAAGCCTTTTAAGGAATTTACTGAGTTGGAGCGGGGCCCTAAGATTCAGCAGAGAGGAGGTTCCAAGAAGGCTCCACTGTGAAGGCAGCACTAAAGTTGCAGGGCACAACAGGGATGAGTTCAGGATGGCCTGCCTGGGCGGTCTCCAGGACGGAGGCCCTGAGAGTTGTCTGTGCAGCCCATGGCCCTGTATGGCAGAGGGGCACGTCGCGGAAGCCAGAGCATCTCCATCAAGGTGTGGCCCTCGCCAGCAAAGAGGGAATCCCCTCCTCGGAGCAGCACTGGGCAGCCTGGGCAGCTCAGGGCTCTGGAGCCAGGGCTGGGAGTGCGGCATGCTGTGCAGCCAGGAAGCCCGCACTCTTTGAAGCACTGCCGTGGCATCCTTCCCAGGGCCACCCTCCACCCGTGTCCCCTGCACATCTGTGGCTCTGGGTCTTGCCCTCTGCATCTCCCTCTGCTCCCCACCCTCCTTCCCATCCCGACCGCAGTCCCCTGCAGCCCACTCCCAGACCCTTATCTGGGTCCACCCGCACAATTGCTGGGAGCCCATCCCCATGACAACGGGGCAGATGGCGGCTGCGATTAGACGCTCCCCCTCCTGCCCCGCTCAATCCGTCTTTGAAATTAAATCAGCTGTGATAACATCGACTGGCCAGAGGGAGAGGGGAGTGTAGGGAAGCCCGCCCCACCCACCCCACCCCAGGCACTCCCTCCCCACGCAGGGCCAGTGCCGGGAGAGAACCCGGGAACAGAGCCATCTCCTGATGTGGCAGGGTGACTTTGGCAGGCTCTCTCATGCTCTGGGCCTCAGTTCCCACATCTGTAAAATGGGGGCAAACAGCCACACTTGCTTTCTTGAGTCGGGGCTGAGCATACAGGCCACACCTCTCACCAAGGCTGAAACTCCATAACTGTCCCACCCTAGGGACACAACTACGTGAGCAGCCCTGGTATCTAAACACACGTGCGCTCATGCACATGACACACACACACACACACACACACACACACACACATCGCCTTGCCAGGCTTCAGGGCACCAGATAAGTCTCCTACAGCACAGACCTGGCCCACAACAACCCGTGAACCCAGTAACTGAGGCTCACCCCACCCTGGCCAGGAAGGAACGACTCCCTCAGATATATCTCATCTAGCCCTGCAGGACTGGGTTCCTTCAGACCCGAGTCAGGACCATGTAGCCTGGGTATTAAGAAGCAGCAGGGCCTGGTACAGCAGCCTAGCAGCTAAAATCCTCGGTCTGCACATGCGAGGATCCCATATGGACACTGGTTCTAATCCCGGCAGCTCCACTTCCTATCCAGTTCCCTGCTGTGCCCTGGGAAAGCAGTCGAGGACGGCCCAAAGCCTTGGGACCCTGCACCCACATGGGAGACCTGGAGGAAGTTCCTGGCTTCTGCCTTCAGATCAGCTCAGTACCAGCTGTTGTGGTCACTTGGAGAATAAAGCATTGGACAGAAGATCTTCCTCTCTGTCGCTTCTTTGTATAGCTGCCTTTCCAATAAAAATAAATAAATCTTAAAAAAAAAAAAAAAAAAAGCAGCAGCGATTACCCAGGCCTGAGGCTGGCTGTGGTAAGAGGAGACGGGAGCCAGGATCCACAGAGAGTGAGGATGTGGCAGGGCTGGTGCCAAGGTCCCGGGGCAGGAACATGTATGAGGGACAGGAGGAGGCTGGGGGCTGCCAGGGAAGGGCCCTGTGCATCTCCATGATGACTCTGGATTTCACTGAGCGAGGTCCCAAGGAGCCCTCTGGTTCCTCGGAGGATACAGGAGAGGGCAGGGGGCCGTGTCAGGTGCAGGTGAGCCATGATGAGCACTTGAACCTGGGAGGTGGCAACCAGTGGGAGCCCAGGTCCCTGCCTAGGGCAGGACCCCCACTGGGACACAGTGGAACCCTGCCCCAGGGCTCCCCTGCATGGGAAGTAGGACCGAGGGGTCCCCGCAGCTGCCAGCCAGGCTCAGGAGAGGCTTTCGGGCCAGAGCATCTTGCTCTGGTCCAGCTTGGCAGAGGCCTCCAGGGACAAACTGCACAGGCCAGAGGCCTCAGGGAGCGGGGCCCAGACAGGGGGAAGCCATCCAAAATGCTGGCTGGAAGGCTCCCCAGCTTGGGATGCCAGGGCTGGGCCGTCCTTCCAGTGCCAACCCTCGCTGAGCCCTCCAAGCAAGCCTTTCCACCCACAGGCTTCAGCCTGTCTGCCTGGGAAACGGGCTAAGCGGCAGACACAGTGTCCAGCTGGACTACCCGTGGCTGTGAGAAGGCACCAGGTTCATGCGGGAGACTCCACCAAGGGAGGAAGCACAGAGAGGTGCAGTCCCAGCCCCGGGGAGGGTGGGGTCCTCAGGGTGTCTGGGGACAACAGTGCCTCAAGTGCACCCAGGTTTCCTTGCACTGTGACCCAGCTCAGCAGCGTGTGGCCGCCTGGGCCACAGGGCTGTAATTTGATTTGCCCGGCAGCTGCCTGTGCTAAGCAGGCCCACTTGACGTAGCCACGGCTGGCCAGTAATTGGTGAAATTAGCAGGTCGGCAGGGACAGAGGTCAGGTGGTTAATGCTGTAGTGGGGGGCTTTGATGAAGTTAGTCCCAAGGCAGGACTGGGAGCTGGGGTTCAACCTTCTGTGTGACCCAGGCCTCCGCTACCCCCCGGGTAACACGGTTAGGGGGCTTCCAGCTGCTGACTGTCCCCCTGGGGTCGGGGGACGGGGGCTCCTGGAGGCAGGACCCAGGGAGCCGAGCCTTAAAGAAGCAGCTGCGAGAGGGCACAGGGGGGCCTTTGCAAGCCCCTTAGCCTCCTGGAAGAGGGTCCCCCTTACAGGGGAGCACCCACCTACCCCTCCTTCACATTGCCATCTGCACATGGCCCCTGTTTCCAGCTGAGCACTCGGACAACCCACAGCAACCCTCCCTGCCTCCTTCCCAGCGTCTCCTCCTCTGAGCATACCCCATGTTTCTTGCGGTTCCGGCAGCGTGGTGCCCCTTCTCCCACCTTCCTCCCTTTCACATCACCTGCTGGGGCGGGAAGTGGGAGGCAGAAGGGAGTAAAATCTGTCAGGCCCTCCCTGGCCACACCCATGCCTCCCTCTGCCAGTGGGGGGCGGTCACCCAGCACCCTTAAACCCTGAGTCCGAGGGGTCACCTTGTCTGGCTCGCCATGACACACAGGTGCACCGACCTTGCTCTGTTGCTGCCATCGTTTTCAAAGCAGCTCCTCTGGAGTTCAGCGTGCCTGCTGTGAGAACTCGCCTCCCCACCCTCCGTGCCTCAGTTTTTTTCTGCGTAACCTGTGACCCATGAGTCCCACCTGACCCCGCCTTCGGGCTGTGCACCTGCTCCGCTCTCTGCCCAGCCTCATGGGCTACAGTCAATCCAGTTCCTGGGAGACGTCACCACCTCGGAAGGACCCCTGAGCCAAGCCCCCACGCCAAGCTGCTCTCCTTGGCTCTGCGCCTGCCTGTTGCCGCCAGACAGGGCCCCTGTTCTACATACCTGCCCTGGATCTGGCTCTCCTCGTGTTTCCCCCAGTGCCTGGAACTGCGCCTGGCACACAATTGATGTGCAAATAGATCTTGTTCAAATTATAAAGAATTCAAAGTGCTCGGTGACATCTATAATTCTGAGATGGCTTCAAAATGCTGTTTTACTTAAAAAAAAAAAATTTTTTTTTCAAGGCTGGCTTTTTTTGCGGCACAGCACATGAAGCCGCCACTGGTGACACCATGTTCCCACAGTCAGTGCAGGTTCGAGTCCTGGCCGCTCTACCCTGCCAATGGACCTGGGAAAGCCGGGAGGGATGACCCAAGTGCTCGGGCCTCTGCCACTGTGTGAGGACTGGGCTGGAGTTCCGGCTCCCGGTTTCAGCCTGGTCCATCCACTGAGGCCGTTGGGGAAGTAAAGCAGCGGGTAGAAGCTAACCCACTCACTTGCTCTCTTTTTCTGCCTCCCGTCCTCCCCTCCACCTCCCATACGGGCATCGGTTCATGTCCTGGCTGCTCCACTTCCCATCCAGCTCCCTGCTGATAGCCTACCTAGAAAAGCAGCTGAGGATGGCCCAAAGCCTTGGGACCCTGCACACATGTGGAAGACCCAGAAGCAGCTCTTGGTTCTGGCTTCGGATTGGCTCAGCTCTGGCCACTGCAGCCACTTGGGGAGTGAACCAGATCCTGGGACCTATTCTTGGGGCTCCCACTCCCTCCTCGGCCTGTGAGTACCAGTCCTGGGACGAAGGCAGTGAATCCACTCAGGGCCTGAGGCTGTGTGTAGGGTGGAGCTGGGGGATGGGTGGGGCGAGGACCCCCATGGCCTCACGGTGAGGCGGGGAGCGAGGTTCTTACACCAGAAGTGGAGCAAGCCCTGAACAGTTTGAGATGATGCAGGTAGTGGACTGGGTCTTGGGACTGGCACAACTACCGTGTGAAGAATCGACGATGGAAGGGGGACACTCAAGGATGGGAGCAGAAAGCCTTGTGGGGTGGTGGGGATGGGATGATAGCCATGGGAGCAAGAGATTGCAAGGCACCCCAGCCCCAAGCCTCGAGTCAGCTCATCCCCAATACAGCCGGGCAACGGTGAGGGTGTTCAGTGAACACGCTTGGCACATTTATTAACCATCAGTCTGTGTCAGCCAGCAGGCGGTGGCAGTGCTGGCCGGGGGGCAGCCGGCACTCACTTGCCATCCACACGTTTGAGCTGCTCCTTGCCGTTGACGGTGACCGACCTGAGCTGCCCGTCTTCCTCCACCTCCACACGCTCCTGTCCATTCTCCACAATGCGCTTGGTGGTGACCTTGTGGCCGTTGATCATCTCCGTGGACGACATGACCGACTTGAAGCCCGAGCCCCCTGAGCCGGAGCCGCCGAAGGAGGTGGAAGAGAAGGTGGTACGGCTGCCCCCACCGCGGCCCAGGGCGTCGAAGGACGAGAAGGCCTCCATGAAGGCAGGGAACTCACCGAAGCCAGCCGAGAAGGCCCCTCGCAGGCCATGGCCACGGCCACCGCGCTCGCTGCTGAACGGGTTATCCCAGAAGTCAAAGGAGAAGGGATCCAGGCCGCCGAAGAACTCGCGGAAGATGTCCTCGGGGTTGCGGAAGGTGTAGCCCGTGTCGAAGGGGCTGCTATAAGGGGTGCCGGCCCCGCCGCCGCCAGCCCGCCAGCTGTCACAGCCCGCGCGGTCGTACACAGAGCGCTTCTTGGAGTCGGACAGCACCTCGTAGGCCTCGGACACCTGCTTAAACTTCTTCTCAGCCTCTTCCTTATTGTCGGGGTTCTTGTCGGGGTGCCAGCGCAAGGCCAGCTTGCGGTAGGCCTTCTTGATGTCCTCGGGGGAGGCGCTCGCCTGCACACCCAGCACCTCGTAGTAGTTGGCCATGTCCAGGGCCTGTGCTGGGAGCCACCAGTGGCGGTGGTGGCGACAGCGGTGGTCTAGACGGTGAAATGGGCCCCGCCCCGGGGGTCAGGGTGGACACGGCTGGTGGGGGTCCCTGCAGCAGCCGCCTTTACCTTTTCATAGTACCCGCTGTCAGGGACAGGTGGGGCCACCGCTGAGAGGGGTGGGGGAGGGGAGCACTGCCGCTGTGTGGCCAGGCCAAGGTGGGCCCCTTTCCAGGGCCAGGGTCTGGTTCTTTGTGACATCAGCTGCTGGGCGGGGCTTCTCCCCACCCACCCACCCACCCGCCCAAGGATCCCAGGCAGCTCAAGCCAGGCATACAGGCTGGCTCAGGCCCATCAGGCAGCTGTGGTCATCCCGGGGTCATGTCAGGGAGATTAGTCAGGCCTCTGAACCTTCTTGGGGGTCCAGGAGCCTGGTGGGCAGCAGAAGTTGGCAGCACTGCTCAGGGCCCCATGGGATGTGTCCATGTAGCCTGATGCTGGGTTGAGAGGGGCTGTGGTCAGACTGGGGTGTGGGTGAGTGTCCCAGAACCCTGCTTTCTCATCCCAGAAGCCTCCTGGCAGTACTGGCATGGTACCCAGCACACATTGGTGAGCAGGGGCAGTGTGTGTTGAATGAAGATGAATCGGAGCCGTGCTTGGGCCCTGACTCCCTCGGAGGAAGATTCGAAGCTGGAGTCACCACAGACTGTAGTGGGCAACAGGTGGCAACACATGTTCTCCCGAAGCCCGGTGAGGAAGTGGGAGGCGGATCCAAAGCTTGCATGAGCAGGGCTTGTGGGTTCCCTGGTGATGTCCCCAAAGAGACAAGACCTCAGAGGTTCCACGTGCGATCCTGCTCGGAAGAAGGGTCCTTCCACGTCATGAACTTTGGGCTATGATGAGGGGACTATCTGGGAAAGTCCCAAGTCCCGTAAGAAGTTCAGAGAAAGCGAGGAAAGCTGCGGACGGAGAGCAGAGGGTGAAGCCGCGAGGGTGCCCGCAGCCCTCAGGCACTAGACCACAAGGACGGACTTTGTCTGTGCAGCCCTGCGTGAGCCCTGGCCTCTGCCCTCGCAGCCTGGAGAACCATGCCACACGTTTCTGCTCGCTGAAGCCACCTGTGTCAGCGTTTTGCCACAATGGCCCTGGAAAGCAGGCGAGGCGTGTGAGGTCATGCCATGTGGCTGGGCATTTGTGCTTCTCTAATTCTTGCTCCCGCTTAGGAAGAGCCGTCCGTGTCTACCTTCAGTTAAGATGGGAGTGGGCTAGGCATCGGTGAGCGATGCCAGCGTGTGACCTGCACACCCTGCGTCACAAAGTCGTAGCTACCAGAGCATTCCTCTTCCCTCCTTCCATCCTTGTCAATTGCCCTCGTATTTCCCTTTCTCCTTCCTTCATGCCTTCCCCTTTCCTCTCTTTTTAAGATTTATTAGGAGAAGCACAGATCTTCCATCTGCTGGTTTCACTGCCCAAATGGCTGCGATGGCCGGTGCTGAGCCAACGCGGAGCCGGCAGCTTGGAGCTTATTCCAAGTCTCCCATGTGAGTGCTGGGTCCAGATGACTTCAGCCTCCTCTGCTGCTTTGCCAGGCCATAGCAGGGAGCTGGATCAGAAGTAGAGCAGCCAGGACTGGGCGTGGGCGGTGATTTAATCTCTTCCTTTTGTAGTTCTGCTGTCTCTCTTTCTCTCTCTCTTTCTCCCAGCACTCATCCATGCTGGGTTCTGGGCACTCCGCAGGGAGGAGGATGCTAACATAACCTGGAGACAAATGCAAGGAGATAGAGGCGTCCCTAAAAAGGGTGACGCTTCAGGTTTTTATGATGACGTCATCCACACAGGCAAATGAGTGGTTACAACGACGATGATGTCAAGAGACAAGGGTCCCAGGGGACACGGGAATCCTACATCCGTTTCCCCCCACCCCAGGTCCAAACTCCCCCCTACTGGCTTCCTGGGGATGCAGGTGGCAACCTTGAGCAAACCCCATGAAGAATTTCCTGATGGTGGCTGGGGTGCCCAGGAAGCTCTGCCCCACACTGACCTTCTCCCCCACCCCCTTCCCATGCTTGGCCTGAGCCCTGCCAGCCCATGGAGGGTCTCTGCAGGAGTCAGCTGTGATGCAGACACAGCCATCACTCCCCACAAGGCCCAGGGCTGTTCCAGGCCACAGAGAAGGGATCCCCGCCCTATGCAGTAGGACTTTTGGGTTTGGGTCCATCCCATGAGAGGACCTGACTCCTTCCTGTCAGGGCTCCTCTGAAGATGGAGACCCTGGCAGGCATGGAGTGATCTCTCCAGTAAAGGAAGCTGTGGACCTTGGAGCTGGGCAGCCGCTTGGTGGCAGCAGGCAGAGCTGAGGTCCTCTTCCGTGTAGGTTCCAGGCTGGGGTCCAGTGGGATTCTGAGGCATCTGGGGAGCCCTCAGGGGAGCCGGTAGAGCAGGTGGCCCAGACCTAGCACCCCCCTCCCCACTCCACTGACTTCTGGGTCACCTTCCTTCTCGGCGCCTCTGTCCTCATTCCCCTCTGGGGTGGCGGCACTTTAGCCTCTGGGAACCCCCTCCCGTCTGGGGAACCAGTCTAGCCTCCTTAGCCTGTGGCTTCTGATGTCCCAGTCAGCCTGGCTGTGTCTGATGTAAAACTCATCCTGGAGCCAACCCCTCTGAGTCATGATTTGAGAAGAAAAAGATCCTGAGTAAACAGGGGATTGCAGGTGGAATTTGACCCAATGCAGAGGAGGCCCAGAGACGGCAGGGCATACCCAAGGTCACACAGCAGTCCCAAGCAGGTCTCCCCAGCAGGCTGATGGAGGCTGATTAGTATTCTGAGCAGCCAGAGGCCCTCTCTGTCTCTGTAATTAATGGAGTGGCTTTTTAAAAGGATTCTAATCAGCCCAGATCCTATCTGCTTATCACTAGCGTTCCTAATTAGATGATCTGGGCAGTCACTTGGGTTAATTCCCTCCAGCCCCCTGCAGCCCTGTCCGGTCTGGGGTAGCCACCCCCGCCCCAACCAGGCCACCCTGGCCCTGGCCAGATGGATACTTCAGGGCTTGCTCACCCCTTCAGGGCCATGGTGCTGTAACTGCATTAACTCCAGGATGGATGGGTGACAGCCATGGATGGATGGGCCACTGGATGGACAGAGTGGCAGGTGAGTGAGGGTCGACAGCTCTGAAGGCAGAAGAGGAACAGCTTATACAGCGGCTAAGAGCTCACTCATCGATCCATTTGGATGACCCAGTGGCCCCGGTTCAAATCCCAGCTTCGCCACTTGCTACCTGTGTGCTCTTGGGGGTGTCCCCTAACCCTCATCTGTGAAAGTTGGGGTGGTAATTGCACCTGCTGAACAGGATTGCTGGGCAGACAGAACTGGGAAAGCAATGATGTAGGAGGTAGACAGACAGTTGGACAAGAGGCCCGATTACCGGTGGGTGCATATGCAAATTGCCCGGCTGATGGGAGGAGGCAGGGTGTGAGTAGCTGGAATGTCTTCCAGAGGTGACATGGTGACTTGATGCGAAGCTGTGGAAAAGACTGAGTCTTCCATGATGACTTCACACGCCTGATGCACCAGAATCCCTCCTCTCTCTGATACCTCTGGGAAGGCTTCAGGTCCAACCTCCCCAGCCAGCAGGGATGGGTGCTGCCCACTGGGATCCCTTCCTGGTGATCCCAGCCCAGGCACGCCCTGACCCCAGGGCCCACATGCTCAGGAGCTGAGCCCTGGCCTCCAATGCTGAGAACTGCCTGTGTAGAGGCATCATTTGTGTCCGTGGGGGCCACCAGCCTAGCACTGGCTGCCTGCTCCCCAGTGCCCTAGTCCCCAACTCGCCTGCTGCCAAGGCTGCCAATGCTGGGCAAGGCTTTGGTCCTAGGCTCTGTGGCTGCTAAGCCTCTAGGGGGAATCTGCCTCCATACTCTCCCTCTACCCTGCCCACATCCGTGAGGCCCTGTAGTGTCTGAGGCAATGGGTTTCCCGGATCCTTCTAGAAAGACTGAGAAGTAAAGAGCCTAAAGTGTCTTACAGTACTAAGGTCTACTTGCAAACCTCAGAGACTCACTGTCCCATCTGCATATCTACCATCCATCCATCCACCTATCCACTAATCCATCCACCCACTCATCTATCCATCCACTCAGCCAGCCAGCCATCCATCTCTCCATCCCTCATTCATCCATCCATTGACCCATGCATCCATCCCCTCGTTCCCCATACATGCTGGGTGACAGGCAGTCTCTCAGGAGCTGGACAAATGTCCGTGTCACAGAACACAGTACAAAGGACGTTGCCCTCATGGAGCTGAGATCCAGTGGGTGAAACACAACGCAAGGTCAGGCAGTGACGGGTGCCGTGAAGGAAAACAAAACAGCACGAGGGCTGAGTGTGCTGTGACGTCTGCCTCGGGGCAGATGGGTGCCACACGCCTGCACGTGCCTGCCTGGGCCCAGAGCCCATGCACGTACACACCCATACACCTGGTCACACGGGCCTGCAGTCCTGCAGCATCTCCAAAGGGGTGGCCCCAGGTGGCCTCCATTGAAGAGCACCTCTGCCCTGGTCTCTCCATGGACCTCCCAGGCCCACTTGCCCAGGGCCCAGTGAACCCTGGGTCGACTGAGAAGGGCCTCTGCAACTGGTCATTTTTGCATTTATTTATGCATTTTATTCTGAAGGCACAGAGAGATCTACCATCTGCTGGGGTATTCCACAAATCCCTACAGCAGCCAGCGCTTGGCCAAGCCAGGAGCCAGCCCTGGAACTCCAAGTCTCCCGTGTTGTGGGGCAGGGTCCTGGATAGCTGAACCCTTACTTGCTGCTTCCCACGATGCACAGGAACAGAAAGCTGAATGGGAAGTAACTCAGGGGTCCAGCACAGTAGCCCTGTGGCTAAAGTCCTTGCCCTAGAGCACCAGGATCCCATATGGGTTCTGGTTTTAATCCCGGCTCCTCCACTTCCCATCCAGCTCCCTGCTTGTAGTCTGGGAAAACAGTTGAGGAC